AGGTAGCTTGGAAAATTTCTTAGACCTGTTGAACTGAAGTCTGACTCTTGGTAGTTCTCTATCCTCTGGTCCTGATTATGCTCACCAGAGGGACCCAGGACACATGTAATACTGCCACAGACAGCCCTTAAGTCTCAGGTTGGGGTGCCTGGGTGGTTCAGTCAGAAATATGTGCAACTCTTGATATCAGAGTCATGAGTTCAAGCTTCTACAATGGGTGTAGAGATTACTTAATAAAAAACAAACAAACAAATAAATAAAAATACTTAAATAAATTAATAATAAATAAATAATGCTCAAATTTAAAAAAACTTAATATAAATTAAAAACTCAAATAAATAAAAATGTCTCTTATGAATCATGAGAGGCAATGGACTCCGGGAAACAACCTGAGGGTTTCAGAAGGGAGGGGGTGGGGCATGAGGTAGGCCAGTGATGGGTATTAAGGAGGGCACGAACTGCATGGAGCACTGGGTGTTACATGCAAACACAAATGATGGAACACTACATTAAAAACTAATGTAAGTTTGATGTATGTAAGTATAGGTATAGGACTAACATAACATAATTGTAAACATAATACTACAAAAAAAGTCTCTTACCTTGCCTCTGTTGTTTATTAGTAAAGACTTTGTAGAGCAATTCCCAAGATGCTAATTGTAATATAAATAATGTATTTTGTGGTCTAGTTGCTAGCAAGTAGAATGTATTTTATGTTTTTATTTCTTCATTCACAGGCAGCTGAAAAAGTTGGATGAAGATAGTTTGACTAAACAACCCGAAGAAGTGTTTGATGTCTTAGAGAAACTTGGAGAAGGGTGAGTGTACAGAAAATACAGGTAGACCAGTAGGTCCCAATCTTTTTCTTCCTCAACACCAGAAGGAGCTGAACCTTTCTTATGTCAATAATTCACAAACCTAAGGAAAAGGAAGAGGAATGTTGCATATGGCACTGCTCCGAGTGGGCTGGGTGGGAGATGTACAGCTTGAGATGCCCTTTCCCTCTTTCCCCCAGTCACCATTATAGACAGATTTAGTGATGCCTGGTCTCTTCAACACCAAGGGTATCTATTGTTTTCTGTCTCATAGAATCCATAGTTTACATGATTTTATGTATGTAACAGCACTAACTAGCCTATACTTCATTTAACAATTTTTATTAGTCATACGTTTTTATTTGCTGTTCATGGTTACTGATCAATATGCAGTAACTATCGTTTCCATAAAATGGAATTCAGCATTTTAGTTAGTGCAGCTTTGTGAGATACAGTAAATACCTCAAGGACTGTCACTACCTTTACAACTTCCAAGAGATTGAAAATCCCAGGTCGGGAACCAGGGTACTTCTTGAAACCCAGATTTGTGAATGAGTGTATAAAATACTGCTGAGATGGTATTTAGTAATAGTGGTTTTTTGTGTATCATTCAGTGATAGTTTCTGCATTAATAAGCAGGTGTGTATGTGTGTGTGTATGTATTTAGTCTCTCAAGAGTACTTCTCATTCAAGAGAAGACCTGAAATATTAACTTTTAAAAACTTGTATTGTTTAAGTGCTGTGTGCTCCTTGAAATTAAGTCTTTTTTTAAAAAAAGATTTTATTTATTTATTGGACAGAGAGAGAGAGATCACAAGTAGGCAAAGCAGCAGGCAGAGGGAGAGGAAGAAGCAGGCTCTCCACTGAGCAGGGAGTCCAATGTGGGGCTCGATCTCATAACACTGGGATCATGACCTGAGCCAAAGGCAGATGCTTAACCGACTGAGCCACCCAGGTGCCCCTGAAATCAAGTCTTATGTGTCATTAGATTATTTTGGGTTTTAATGTTATTTATGTCTAATGTAGGTCAGGAATAATGTTAAACCCGATCCTGGGTTACATGGCATAGGTTTTCATGGATTGCCTCCTTGTAAAAAACATTAGTCATCTTTTTCTAAGTTGGAAAAATACTCTCTGGAACCAAGTAAGACATCAAGCAGAGAAGGGAAATAAAAGAGGACACCAGCTGTGCTGTTAGAAGACAAGTACAAGATGATTCTGAAGACTGCAAGTTGACTTGGCATCCTTAAAGGTATGGGAAAACGACAGTCCCTCCACATTTCTCGCCTGTCCTTTTCAACTTTAGCTTGGCCTCCTTGCTGTTTTCCCTCAAGGCAGTGAGTCTAACGCCCTTCATCTAACAGTGCTCACAGGTCCTCCTTTGACTAAGATAAAGCGTGGTGGGCATAATTGAATATGTAACTAACTTGTTTCTTTCATTTTTAAGAGAACTGTGTGTTATAGTAGTACGGGCGTAGACTCTGAAGTTAGACCTATGTTAAAGCCCTTGCTCTACTGTTGTATTAGTCACAATAAACAAGTGGGCTTGAGCAGATTACTTAATATTTTGAAGCTTCATAAACCTCTGCTATGAAGCATAGATATTCTTATCTCCCTCATCTGGGTTATACCAAGTATTACCTGGGATAATAGGGGTATGGTACTGAGTACAGTGCCTGTCACGTAGTGTGTGCTCAGTGAGTGGCAGCCATGATCCTTTTATTTTTAAGCCTACCAACTGAAGCATTTTTCAGACCTTATCATGTCAAATCAAAGTTAGATCTTAAATCTTCAGTATATTTAGGCATTCCTGAAGGGAGCGCTGTTTGCATTCATTGGGTTTGGGGAACACCAAAAGAAAACTACAGACAAAATATATTCCTGATATATTCTGATCATATGGGAAGGGGAAACTAAGCTAATTATGATTGTTTTTAATTGTCTTTTAGATCTATGCATGTCTTCATCGAGGAAGTTGGAAATTTCCTTACAAAGATAAAACCAGCAAAAAATCGGAGTAAAGCTTCCGCTCTCTCTCCTTGTGTTATCACCATAGTGCTCTTTTAAGTGATACCACAGATGTTTGGATTTCTGTCATCATGGCGGAATGTTCCCGAATGAGTTTCATTTAACTATCAGAATCCTGAAGGAAGACCTTAACTCTGCCTTGCTATCTGAACACGAACTGCCATGCCATCCTGAAATTGTTCTGGAAAATGAGTGGCTTGTGACCACTCACTACCTTGTGTCTTATGAAATGAGCTCTGGCCAATGGACCATGTTGGATTCTCTGGAGGCCAAGTTGTTCTGTGTCTGGAGGAAATCCTGTGGATCTGTGACAGAGTAGAGCCAGCACACCAGACCTCGACGAGTGGCTTATGCTTGGAAAGTGTTTTGCATGAGAGCCTAGCACTTTTTTCTTTCCATTATACTTAGAAGTTTTACACCTTGACTCACTAAAGTTTGCATCATAGGATAATAAAAACATCTTGCCCCTGGTTTCATAGGTAGTAAGTGGTATTGTTAAGACTTATATCTAGTTGATTTGACTCCAGATACTGTATTATTTCTGTTTTCCCAAATTGATTCTTACCTTGTTGGCTTGTGTGAAACCCCTACCTCCCCACCATTTTTATTCTCTGCCAATCAGAATTCATCGAGTCACTGTAGTTTTTGTTATAGGGAATCAGGTCTTAATGGGATTTGCCTAAAAGTGAGCACGGTTGCTGAAGCCTTCTAAATTCTCTTCAGATTAAGTGCAGTATGTGGAATCGTGAATTTTAGTTGTTCATACAACTAAATGTTGGAGCATTCCTTGCTCTCAAGATGGCATAGAGAAGCATGGAGAGTGTTCTGGTTAAGATTGCTGAGGGCGTATGTGCAGAGACCTCTCTTTACATTTTAATAGATAAAACTGATGAGTGAAAATGGAATTTTTATTTATTTTGTTTAAGATTTTATTTACTTGACAGAGAGAGAGTAGGCACAGGCAGGGGGAGTGACAGGCAAAGAGAGGGGAGAGGCAGAAGCAGGCTCCCTGCTGAGCAGAGAGTTCAGCATGGGGCCTGATCCCAGATTCCAGGACCCTGGGATCATGATCTGAGCCGAGGGCAGACACTTAACTGACTGAGCCACCCAAGCACTGCGGAAATTAAATTTTTAAATAAAAGAACACATGGCCAGCTATGGAGCAGGGATGGAAAAGATATGTAATAGTAAGAGGAGAGTAGGGCTTGCCCTGTCCTTGTGAGGAGATGGCAGGTGAGCTTCTACATGAAGTTGTGGGAAAGATGAGGCCCCCCCCATCTATGAACTAAAGGTGAAATACATTTGCCTGATCACTGTTAGAAAGTATCATTTGCCTGTGGCCTGGGGAAAAAATGGAGATACTGGTTTGATGATAAGAAGTGAGCCTGGACTACATTCAGGTATGGGATCTTGAGAGGCAGAAACCCCCAACTCCTAACACAAGACCAAGTTTAAGTTGTATAGTCTAGATGACAGGCTGAGAGAACCATGGAACCATCATGACATGAAATGCTTGTGACAGTTAGCATTGTGTAGGGGGAAATCATTCAAGATAAAAGGAAACCCATACAAGGAATCTACTGCCATGGGATAATGAGCGGGACAAATGGGAGAAATCACATCCAAGGACATAGAAACAATGGAGGAATCTCAAAGGGGATTTAACATGTTTGTTTATTATTTTCAAAAAGATGAAAGGAGGAAATAACCAGGTTATGAGCATGAGGTTATGAACACGAACAGATGGGCTCCAGGAAAAATTGGAAGTTGGGAATCTTGACAACGGTTGAACTTCTAGAAGCCCAATAAGTTGTAAAAACAGTGAACTAGACAAGCTGAAAGAATTTGTGAATTAAAAGAAATGAGACTGATCATGAAATGCAGGACAGAGAAGTACAGTGTTAGAAATCAGGAGGACGGCATGGATTGAGGAGGTATGCAATATGGGTCCAGTAGGAATTCTACAAGGAGATAGTAGAAGAGATAGAGAAGAAAAAGATAATGCTGAGAATTTCCGGACTTGAAGAAAAACATGCCTTCAGAAGGAAGAAGCTTATGAAATGCCAAATGAATCAACTCCTAATTACAGTAAAATTGTGGAACGCTAAGGGTAAAGAAGAACCTGTGAAAGATGATAATCCAATGATAGCTGATTTCTCAGCAGCAATGGAAGCTGGAAAACTGCAGAAAAGGTGCTGAGGGAAAGCTTTTGTCCAAGAACTCTCTATCCAGCACAACCGATTCCAACGAGAATGTGAAATACAGACATCTTCACACATATGGGACCTAGTGTATCAAGAATAACTTTGAAAAGTAACAGAATACCCAACTAGCAATGGCTAACCAATAAGGGCATTTAATAACTAAGTAATAATAGAGTTGGGGTGGAAGATTCCAGAATGGTTAGTTGGTTTGATAATGGTTTAGTATTTGTATATTTCTCTTCTGAAGATGGCTGCCTTAGTTTCACGCATCATGCCTTACGTAACAGTAACCAAAGTAGGAAAGGAAATGGCAGATAAAAGTGGGCCTTCTTGTGTGTTTCTCTCTCATCAGGAAAGAAAGCTTCTCTCAGAATCCCTTCAGCAGAATTCCCCTCAAATTTCATTGGCCAGATCTGGGTCCTATGCTTACTAGTAGTTCAGTCACTGGCAGAAGGAATAGGAAGGCTGACTTCCTGGACCGCCATGTTTTATCCCCTAGAACCAACCTTCGCTACCCCAGCGAATCAGAGGTTTATCTTCATAAGGTGGAAGGGGCAGCAGGCAGGCCTTCCACACATGGCCAGCAATTGCCTTTCTCCGGGTTAAAAAAAAAATTACGTAACTTTTAAGGATTGTTATACTAGTTTTGCCAATATACGAGATTCTGATGGGATGAAAAATTTTTTTATGTGTTTTGCATAATTTTTTTAGTTTTATGTTACTTTCACATTGAAATGGTCTGGAGCATCATTTTGGCAGCTAGAGCACTCATCTACTTTGACGTATCAGGGGCCACTGTTCCGTTAATGTATTTTTTGCCAGGACAGTATGAAGAAATAACGTGGGTTTGGGAAATAAGAAAGATGGCTTACTCACTGTGTTTTCACCGACAGCTGTCATGGTTTCCACTGAAAATGTAATCAGTGTAGGGTGATGATGGTATCTCATTTGACCATCACAACTGTCTTGTAGTTTGTATTGTCATTTTACAGGTGAGAATATTGAGGCACAAGAAGGCTAATATGTATGTAAATGATGACTGTTATGTCATGAGGGTAGGACTCAAATCATTAGTCTCTTGATTCTAAATCTCATGCTCTTTTAGGCCCAAATTGAATGGACACATAAATTTTTAAATTTATTTTGAAAATAAGCTTAGATGGGAGGATGGGGTAAAAGGCTTTCTATGTGCTATGTTCACCTGATACTAGCATTTAAAGGGGCTTAGATTTTTGATTAGTTGCCATAATGTTTTAAGTATTATTGCAAGTAAGAGGAGCAGGGATGGAAGGACCTTGTACTGGAGTGAACACAAGAACACATAGACCTCCATTGTTTGCATTCCAGCTCAGAGAGATGTGGGGAGCACATAAGCCTTGTGTTCAGACACACCTGGATTCACATCCCAGCCTGACCATTTACTTTTCATCTCTGTGACATTGGGCAAGTCCTGTACCCTCTGAGCCTTCACACATTTTCCTATAAAATGGGGATCATGACCTCTTTCTTTTTTGGGTGGGTTTTTTTTTTTTTTTTTTTTTTTTGGTAAAGATGAATTGGGATGATGCAGTTTCTAGCAGACATCAGGCACGCAATGCACGGTTGCTACTCTAATAGTGATTATTTTGTATGAATCTATCTCTAAAGGTTCAATGTGAAGTTAACAGGTTTTTTCCAAAGTACTTCAATTACCTCTTTCAGTTTTGGAGCTGTAGATAAGTATAAGTGTATTAGGCCTTTAGGGATATCAATTAGAACTGTGAGTTGCTTTTTTTTTTTTTTTTTTACCATTTTTTTTCTCTGGACTTGCTCTGCCTTTGTGAATGTTCTCTTTCCCCCACTTACAGGTCCTATGGCAGTGTGTACAAAGCTATTCACAAAGAGACCGGTCAGATTGTTGCGATTAAGCAAGTTCCTGTGGAATCCGACCTTCAGGAGATAATCAAAGAAATCTCTATCATGCAGCAATGTGACAGGTAAAGGCACGTGGGGAGAACATAGTTCTGAATTAGCTGTGACTCTAGAGTTTAACATGTACGGATGCATTTACTTAGAGGTTTTGCGGAAGAGAGCGTTCAGGTGGAAAAAATCTGATGCAAAAAATGTGTGTTTTAATAGCTAGACTTTTATAGTTTCTATTCTGCATAGATTTTTTTCTTTTTTTTCAGTAAGCCCCTTTCAAAACCAGGAAGAAGAGGAGGCAGAGGGGCAGAAGGTGGTGGTGCTTTTTTTTTTTCCCCTCCTGATAGTGATCTCTTTTACTTCCTATTGTGAAAACATTTCTGCAGAGATAGCTAAGAAGAGATAATCCAAATACTTTTAGCTCTAGAAACGTTAGAATATCAGCTAGATCTAAAAAAGAGAACATTTTTTTATGTATTACTGTTCCTTCCTACATTTGAAAAAGAATTCTTCAAGCTCAGAGTAGTTAAGAATTTTATATTTTGAGGAACTAAGATTTGTCAAATGTGTAAGCAGGAAGTCAGGCCACCAGGCGACCACAGAAAAGCACGTGGTTTGCTCTGAAATTCCGTCACAACATGAGCTGGTCGCCTTGGTGGAGCAGGCTTCCCCACTACTGTTTAAATTTGAGAGAGACACAAAATCAGGGGCAACGCCAGCTCTAGGGAGCTGAAAGGAGAATGAGAACGTCTTGCATCTGAGGCCGCATCCTTTCTCCTGAAGCTCTTTTGGTCAGCAGAAAGAGCTTTGTAAAGCTTTAGCATTGGGGCAGGTGGGGCTGCCTACTGGGAAATTTGCTTGGGAGCCCTTAGATCTCACAGGCTTGGGAATGTAGTTATTTCTCTTCTCCCTCTCTCCCTTTCTTTTATTCTTTACACTCTTGTAGTTACTCTCTGTTAGACAAAACCCTCGTATTTCTCTGTTAGACAAAACCCTCGTATTTCTTTACCAGATTGCCCAGAGTTAGGGAGAAGGTTTCCTTTTCCTCTGCTATGAGTTATAGTATGGAAGCTCTTCCCGTAGGCACACTGGGACTATGTCAGTGTTTTTTTTTAAGGTTGATTGAGTTTAGAGAGAGAATGAGAATGCCAGTGAGCACTGGGGAGGGCAAAGGGAGAGGAAGAGAGAATCTCAAGCAGACTCCCCACTGAGCATGGAGTCTGACATAGGGCCCGATCTCATGACCCCAAGATCATGACCCTAGCTGAAATCAAGAGTGGATGCTTAACTGACTGAGCCACCCAGGCACCCCAAGGGACTTCGCCACTTCTGATATGCTACATAAGAGCTGTGTTTCAGAGTATGCAAATATCTCTAATGAAAGAAGAGTTATTTCCAAGAGCCTACTCTCTGCTAAGCATGGTGAAGAGTACAGAGAAATACCAGGCAGAGTTGTTATCCTCTGGGAGTTCATAGACAAATTGGACAGGCCAGGCATATATGTGTACAAGAAAATCTAGCCAACGATACAGGATTATACAGAACATGTTCCAGCAGTAAGTAGCTGAGATTACTTGCCTTGTAAAGGCAGTAAGTAACTGCGGGAATTTAAGGAAGGGAGAGCAGAGAGTTACTCATCCATGTCTTCATTAATTGTGTGTATATGTGTTTCCTGCTGTCCTTGTCATTGGCATGTTTCCCAAGGGTGAAGGGGCATTTGAAATTCTGAGCATTACTGAAGCTGAGTAGGTTTTAGCATCTCTGATTGTTATGCAACGTTATTTAGCCCTGATAACAATCTAACCCGTTAAAGCTGGTAGCTCTCAGTGGGCAGATTATTTCATTTTAATAGGATGTTTGACTTTTCACTGAAATCCCTTTTGGTATCTCTCTTTGAGACCCAAAATTCCAGGTCTGAAACTGAATATTTTTCTTTTTAAAAATTTTTTTAAAAGATTATTTTAGAGAGAGGGAGGGAGAGAGCACAGGTGCACACGAGCAGTGGGGAGGAGCAGAAGGACAGGGAGACAAGCAGACTTCTTGCTGAGCGGGAAGCCAGACAAAGGGCTTGATCCCAGGACTCTGAGATCATGACCTGAGCTGAAATCAAGAGCTGGACAGTCAACTGATTGAGCCACCCAGGCGCACCCTGAATATTTTCTTTTTATAATTGATCGTGGTGTGGTTTTTTTTCTTATTACAAAGTACATGTGACTTCTTGGAAAAATGCAAATAAAAAGAAAATAAAATCATTTTCCCCTTTGGAGAGATAATCATTGTTAAATGCTCTTTGGTATACATTTCCTTCCATATCTCTTTTTGGAGTTTCACCATGCTTACAATTATGTAACATGTACTCACTCTTTCTTTCTTTCTTTCTTTCTTTCTTGTAAGCAGGATCTCTTCTCATGTTATCAAATATTCTTCTATAATATGTTTCTTGGATTCATGGTTATTCCATTATATGTGTATCATTATTTCTTAATTAAACTCCCTCATGTTGGACACTTAGATGGTATCTAAGTTTTCATTGTTAAAATAGTACTGTGATGCTAAACTATTTCTTTTTGAATAGCTGTAGTTCTTTTCCTTGGATGAACTGTATATCTAGAAATGCAACTTAAAGGACCCATACATTTTCTCACTTTGGTTATTTATTATTTAGAAAAGTATTATTTATTACTTACATTTTTATCAAGAGGGTGTCTATTTTAACCTTAAATATGAATAATTGGTCTTTTGAGCAGAGAAGTTTTCATGTATTGAAGGTTGTTCCACTAATTTGCATTATTACTTTCTCTTTAGCCCTCATGTAGTCAAATATTATGGCAGTTATTTTAAGAACACGGACTTGTGGATCGTTATGGAGTACTGTGGGGCTGGTTCTGTGTCTGATATCATCCGATTACGCAATAAGACGGTAAGTTTACCTTCTAGAACAATGGGCTTGTGCTGGGCCCTGGCCTTGTATTTGTGGGTACTCTTCTACTGCCATATCCAGAGAGGTGACTGTCAGATTTCCCTTTCCCATGATTCTTTCCCCCTCTGCTTTCTGATGCCTCCTGAAAGTGGTGTTTTTGATACCAGCCCAAGCCAATGATATTTAGCATGTTTTGGGAGAGAAAACGATGACTATCAAATCTTGGTGAAGCAATGAATTTTAAATGTTTAAATTTAGATTTGGTTTTCTCCCCCTACCCAGTATGTTCACAGATTAATTTCCTCTACATTCTATTTTTATTTTTTATTTTTTTTTATTTGAGAGAGAGAGAGAGTGAGAGGGAGAGCATGAGAGTGGGGTGAGGGGCAGAGGGAGAAGCAGGCTCCCTAGCAGCCTGCTGCGGGGACTCGATCCTGGGACTCTGGGATCATGACTTGAGCCAAAGGCAGATGCTTAAGCAACTGAGCCACCCAGGTGCCCTTCTACTTTCTTTCAATCAGAGAATAACCTCTGTGTAAAATTATTTGCCCTTATTGTGATCACTGGGATAAAAGCTAAGAGTCAAGTGTTCTAATTCAGGTTTAGTTGCTTATTCAGGAAATATTTCTAGAATACGGTTCTAAGCCCTAGGGATAGGCTTAGACAACAACCCTGCTCTTGTGCTTGTACATTTTCTAGTAGGGCAACCACAAAGCCAACTGTTGGTAACGAGAAAAGAAATACCAGATAGTGATTATTTCTTTGAAGGAACGGACTGGCAGAGTGCTCAGTGAGCTACTTGAGAGTGGATGGCTGAGAAAGGCCACTCAGGGAGGTAACATTTAAAGATGGAGCTATGACTTCTAAAAGACATTCTAGGTAGGGCAATAAGCAGTGCAAGGATCTTGAGGCTAGAACAGTTTGGCACAAAGAAAGCCACTGTGAGTAGAGGGGAGAGGTGAGAGGACCTATAGGAGATGAGGTGAGACAGGGGAGCAGGCCTGGATTCTGTTGGTATTGTTGGCCATGGTAATGAGTTTGCCTTTTATTCTGACTATAATAGGAAGCCACTGCCACGTTCTAAGCATGTCAGGAGACATTTGATGATGTACAATTTAGAAGATAAACTGTGGTTTCTGTGATAAACTGTGGCTTCTGTGTGGACTGTGAATGGATAAAAGTAGAAGCTAGAGACATCTTAGCCTTTAGTTTTTTAGTTTTTTTGTTTTTTTGTTTTGTTTTAATGAGAAAAACAGGAATAATACCTATGTTAAATATTTGTAGAATTGTGAAAATTAATTTAAATATGGGAAAGTACTTTGTACTTTGTGAGGCACTCTAGGAATTTAAGGTGAGAATATTTTAAATCTCCGTTCTATCCTCAAAAAAAAAAAAAAAATAGAACTACCCTAGGATCTAGTAATCACACTACTGGGTATTTTCCCAAAGAATACAAAAGCTGATTCTAAGGGATATATGCATGCCCGTGTTTATTGTAGCATTATTCACAGTAGCCAGATTCTGGAAGCAGCCCAAGTGTCTATCGGTAGATGGATGGATAAAGAACATGTGGGGGGGGTGTGTGTGTGTGTGTGTGTGTGTGTGTGTGTTTATAAATATTATTCAGCCATAAAAAAGAATGAAATCTTGTCATTTGCAACAATATGAATGAATCTAAAGAGTATAATGCTAAGCAAAATAAGCCAGAGAAAGACAAATATCATATGATTTCATTCGCATGTGGAGTTTGAGAAACAAAGCAAATGAACAAAGGGAAAAAAAAGAGACAAACCAAAAAAACAGACTCTTAACTGTAGGGAGCAAACAGATGGTTACCAGAGGGGAGATGGTTGGGGGATGGGTGAAATAGGGGCTGGGGTTTTAGAGTATGCTTATGGTGAGCACTGAGTAATATACCCAATTATATTATGTATTATACACCTGAAACTAATAGAATGCTCTATGTTAACTATACTGGAATTAAAATAATAATAATTTAAAAATAAGAAAACTCAGTTGTAACTTTTGGGTTATCTATATGACTATATCCTTTTCTTAATTTACATTATTCAGAGTTAGTATGCTTTTCTAACCAAATAGCAAGTTCTTTAGCTAGGAATTATATCTTACCATAAGTTATATTTAAAGAAGTACCAAAGCTTGAATAATTTATTGAATTAAAAATTGGGCTCCAGGGGCATCTGGGTGGCTCAGTTGGTTGAGTCCAACTCTTAATCTCAGCTCAGGTCTTGCTCTCAGGCCCCAGTGAGTTCAAGTCCCGCATTGTGCTCTGTGTTGGGCATGGAGCCCACTTAAAAAAACAAAACAAAACAAAAGAAAATTGGGTTCCAGGCCTTCTTATGTGCAGCATTAAGTTACTTTGTTTCAGGTATCTTGAAGCAATCCAAAACTAATTTTAATGGTGCATTTCATGTTCTAATATTAGTTTATTGTATTTATCTACTTTTTAGCTATCAAGTGCTGGTCTTTAATTATTATACATTATTTTGTAAAATGTCTTAATTCCGTCTCATCCAGCATGATAGTCACTAGCTACGTGTGGTTACTGAGGACTTTAAATGTGGCTAGTCTGAATTGAGTTGTGTTATAAGTATAAAATACCAGATTTTGAAGAATTATTACAAGAAGAAAAAAAAACTTTACATTTTTTATATATTGATCACATGTTGAAATGATAATATATTGAATAAATATGGTTAAAATATATTATCAAAATTAATTTGGGGGTGCCTGGCTGGCTCAGTTGGAGGAGTGTACAACTGTTGATCTTGGGACCATGAGTTTGAGCCCCACGTTGGGTATGGAGATTACTAAAAAAAAATAAACGTAAATAAATTTTGCTTTTTTTAAAAAATGTGGCTCCTAGAAAATTGAAAGTTCTGTTTGTGGCTCACATTGTATTTCTATGGGCAGTGCTCCCTTAACTGATTAGCTTAACTGGTTAGAATAAGGCGTCAGTAAGTCAGTCACATGAACATTGTTCTCTTAGGCCACAGAAGGTACCCACACTCCAGCTTGCAACCTTGCCAGTAGTGTTTGCTTGGCCTGCAGTGAGAGTGCTGTCATTTGTAAGCACAAACTACTTGTTGTGCTTCAGCTTCATTTTCTGTAAAATGGTGATGATAATAGTATTTATTTCATGTGATTTTTGTAAGGATTTAATGAGATGACAAAAATAGTGCCTACCATAGAATAAATGCTTAATAATTAGCTCTCTTTAATTTTATTAGCAGAGTATCTGGCTCATAATTGATGCTTATTAACTATTGATTGATTGTTAGCATGGTAGTTATTAAGCCATGTGCATTCTTATACTCCTTGTATCATTTGATTTTCATGACATTCTTGAAGAAAGCTGGTAGTCCTGTTTTATTGGTCCTATTTATTGAGAAACTGAGACCAAGAGAAGTTCAACGTAGGTCCCACAGCTAGAACGTAGAGCCAAGGGTAAAACTAGGTCTTTCTAATCCCCGATCCCTTGTTTTTTGCACCACAGCATGCTCTCTTCTAAATGTGAATTGTTTGTTAGAAGGGAGGCTGAGAGTTAGTTGATGGATTGTATTTGTTTTCTCACTGGAGTCGGGTCTGCAGGAAATCAGCATGGGCTGAGCACATATTCTGTCTATCAGCAGTCTTGTTTTCACTTATTCATCATCATTCAACAAACATTTTTTTGGGACCTGCTACGTGTCAGGTGGCTTTTTGGGGGCCAGGGATACAATAGTAAACAAGTCAAAGACATTTTATTTTTTATTTATTTTTAATAAGTTTGAAGATTTATGTATTTATCTGAGAGAGAAAGAGAATGCACGCATGCTTATGCGCCTGTGTGGGGAGGGGCAGAGGGAGAGAATCTTCAAGCAGACCCCACCCCCGACCATGGAGCCTGACATGGAGCTTGATCTAATGATCCTGAGATCATGACCCAAGCTGAAACCAAGAGTTGGATGTCCTTAGCCACCCAGATGCCCCCAAAGACATTTTTAAAATGGGGTTTATGTTCATAATAGGGAAGGTAACACATAGTAAGTGTACAAATATCATATAATATGTCAGATGGGGATAATACTGCATGTACCAATAAGATAGGATAAAGGGTAGAGAATGATCTAGGAATGGAAGGAACTGGGGAAGGCCTCTCTGACTTTCTGGATGAAGACCATTGTAGACAGAGAGTACATGAGGTGAAAAGGCCCAGAAGTGCAAGTGTGCTTTGAGTGTTCGAGAAACAGTAAGGAAGGCTATGAGGCTGAAACAGAATGAGCAAGGTAGAAAGTGTAGAGGATGAAGGTAGCTGGGGACCAGATCATGTAAGACTCTGGTGAGGACTGGTTTTCATTTTGAGTGGCTTAGGAAGCCGTTGATTGGAGGGTTTTGAGCAGCTCTGGCTTGCATTTTCAAGGTTGATTATGGCAGGCTGCCACGTGGGAAATACACTGCCCAGGGTCAAGGGCAAAAGCAGCGAGACCAGTTAGGAATTTATTAGAATAGTTCAGGCAGGACATGCTGGTGGCTTGAACGAGGGTGATTAATGATTACAGAGGACGTATTTGGATATATTTTGAAGTTAGGGAAGAGCCGGGGAGGACTTCAAGGTGTTTGGCCAGGGCAACTGAAACTGCCTTTCCCTGAGGGAGAAGACTGTGGGAAGAACAGAGTTGGTGGGGTGGGGTGGCGGTAGAAGTACAGAATTTGATTTTGACGTGTTCTGCTGATGATGCTTGTTAGGTTTGCAGCTGGAGATGCTGTGTAGGCAGGTACATGAATCTAATGTTTGGGGAGAGATGAGACAGGACATGTAACTTTGGAAGGGGTTAATGGAGTGGTGGTATAAGCTGTCAAATGCTGCCACAGGTTGAAGACCTTACATTCTAGGAAGGGAGCTTGGATCTGATTTTTTTCCCTTTATTGAATGTAAAATGCTATAAGCTGATGGAATTTTAATCTTTCATTCTTTTTTTAGTTAACAGAAGATGAGATAGCTACAATATTACAATCAACGCTTAAGGGACTGGAATACCTTCATTTTATGAGAAAAATACACCGAGATATCAAGGCAGGAAATATTTTGCTAAATACAGAAGGACATGCAAAACTTGCAGATTTTGGGGTAGCAGGTCAACTTACAGTAAGTAAAAATGTTACTTTTCTTGATAACTTTCTATCTAGAGAAGGAATTCCTTTCATTTAGTCATTTTTTTTTTTCAGTAAAATACTCAATTTCATTATATTTGTAAAAAGGTAATGGAAGGTACCACTAAGTTACGAAAGAGCTCCTGGGTTATTTTAGATCTTTTCCTGGGGTTTAGGTCCCATGGTTTAACTTTGGATAAAAATAAAAGCTAAAACAAGAATGACAGGGTAGAAGTTGAAATTCTGTTCATCGTATTTGCAAAAGGAAGAAAAATTCAGTCCCAACTGCTTTTCTTGAATAAGACCTAACACCATCTCAACTGGGTAGCAGTTGGCAGTTACTTTACTGAAAACACTCCTCGTCCGGTTCCCGGATACAGTCTTTTGACTCTCCTCCTACCTCACCAGTGTATGGCAAAGACAAAAACCACGTTTTCAAAACAGGAAATACAGAATTACCTGATTTTGAAGAATACCTAAGTATGTATGACATATACGTAGAAACATAGAAACAGTTCTGGACAGATACATACTAAAATTCACAACAGCGATACGTATCAGTTTTCTTGGGTGGTAGTAAAAATACTTTCTGTTTGTTTAGGGCTGGTATTAGGTAGAATTTTTTGTTTGTTTTTTGGTTTTTGTTTTTAAATCTGCCTGGATTATGTTAGGGAGTTTAATAAAGTATTGCAATGGCACAAAAATTGCTTTGATGTTTAAAAAAGAAAATCAGAAATTTATTCCATTTTGTGATTACCGGGTCTTTCAAAAGATTTTGTTATTAACACATAAAGTGCTTTGAGGGAAAAATTTATGCTTCCAACTATAGCATATAAATGTATATAAATCCATTTTTGGGGTGCATGTCTGGCTTAGTAGAGAGTGTGACCTTTGATCCCAGGGTTGTGAGTTCAAGCCCCACATTGGGTGCAGCCTACTTAAAATGAATAAATTAAATAATTAATTAAAAAAAGAATGTACCCATTTTCCCTTATATTTGCCAATACCAAGTGAGCAATAAATTGTATTTTTAAAATCATTTTGAAACAACATTTTTACATTTGATTATTGGCCATTTATAATTCTTCTTTTGTAACTTAACTGTTCATCTTAATTTTGCTAATTGTGTTGGACTTTTTAAAAAAAATTACTTGCTGAAAAAGATAAACCAAAGCTTAAAAAATTATATGTTAAAATTATTAATCCTTTGTTATGTATGTTGAAACATCTTTTTGTAGTTTGCTAGTTATCTTTTTACTTTGATTATGGTTTTTCTTTAAATGCCGAAGTTTCCAAATTCTATATATCCCTTTTATATTATGGTTTCTGCCTTCACTGTCACCTATAAAAGTCCTTTTCTGCTCCAACATTGTATAACTGTTCATCTATACTTCCTTTAGTACTTTGTGGATTCATTCTTTGTATTTAAATTTTCAACCTATTTGAACTTCCTTTGGTAGAAATGTAAGTTAGGAAATTAAGTATAGAATTTTGCAAATGACTAGCCAGATGCCCAGCACTTTTTTTGTCCTTTGCTTGTAATTTGGAATTACATTTTAATCATATCTTCAAGCTGTGTGTGTGTGTGTGTGTGTGTGCACATATAAATACACTTACAATGCCATTGTTTTTTTCTGGATTTAATATTTTCCCATGTTATGCTCCTGCACCAATATAACTTTGTCATACAGATCAAGGTGGGTTAGTATCTACTCATTATTCTCAGTTTTCAAAAAATTTCTAGATATCTAAATACTCTTTTCGAAATAAGTATTTCAAGGATAAAATTCTTGAAAACAACTTTGAGTAGCCCCATTTGGAAACTGCAAATTTAAGTTTCGGAGCAAAGGAAATGACTAAGCGATAAGTTAGTTCCTGTGCTAGTTTTTACATAGGACCAACTAAGTAAGATCGATTTAAAAATATTACCTATCATTTGCTCCTGACTGGCCTAGCCTAACTGAAGCGCATTTCAGAAGGAACAGGAGTGACGGCAAGTCCTGTTGCATATTTAGTTCTGTTTAAAATCCTCTTCCCAAAATACAAGAGCTCTAGAAAGGTTCTCTTTCATTAAGGCCATACTGTTCTGGGGAAGTAGGCAAATAGTTATTTGCCTATGTGAGCTAGACTCATACATTTTTCTCTAAGACCCAAAGTAAGACTTTCTCTATGTATACATTCTATTTTATGGAATATATTCTATGATAAAAAGAAAAATTATGTGTGTACATAGATGTATACAAATATGATTTTTTTAAATTTTTGGATAGCACATTTACTGTATATTCATGTAACTCATCAGAGTGTTATAGGAGTATATGGGATAGAAAGTGAAAGTCCTTTGTGATTCCACCTTCTAGATACAACTGTTAATAGTTAGTTCAGTGTGTATGGAGATTTTTCTTTTGCTATCCATGTAACAGCAATACTTGTTATTATTGGTTGCTGTTTTGTCATATATACATAATATATGACAATATAATTATATATAATTTTGCAACCTGATTTTCTCTTTATAATATGCCTTGTACATTTTTCCATGCCAGGAAAATGAATCTATCTCCTTTTTAAAAAAATATATGGTGGATGGGGCACTTGGGTGTTTCAGTTGGTCTGATTCCTGATTTCAGGTCAGGTCATGAGATCAGGGCTGTGGGATCAAGCCCCACATCAGGTCTCATGCTTAGCAGGGAGTCTGCTTGAGATTCTCTCTCTCCCTCTATCTCCCCCTGCCCCTCCCCCCACTTGCATGTAACCTCTCTCTCGAATATAAATGTCTTTTTTTTTTAAGATTATTTATTTATTTATTTATTTGACAGATAGAGATCACAAGTAGGCAGAGAGGCAGGCAGAGAGAGAGAGGAGGAAGCAGGCTCCCTGCTGAGCAGAGAGCCTGATATGGGGCTCGATCCCAGGACCCAGGGATCATGACCTGAGCCAAAGGCAGAGGCTTTAATCCACTGAGCCACCCAGGCGCCCCTTGAATATAAATAAATCTTTAAAAAAAAAAATTTGAGCAAGAGCACGTGTGTGAGTAGGGGTTGGGGGATGGGAGGGCAGAGGGAGAGGGAGAGAAACAGACTCTCTGCCTAGCGGGGAGCCGGACTTGGGGCTTGATCCCCAGGGCCTGAGATCATGACCTGAGCCAAAAATCAAGAGCTGGATGCTCAACTGACTAAGCCACCCAGGCAGCCCTAAATAAATCTTTAAAAAAATTACAGTGGATATTTAATTTACCCCTTTAGATGGTCATTTGAGTTGTTTCCTTTTTCTTTTTCTTGTCTCTACTACAGATATTTCTCCAATATCTGTGCGTGTGTATTCGGGCACCTGCACATAAGATCTATTTCTAGAAAAAGATTTGGATCAAAGGATATGCACACTTAAAGTTTATAAATATTGCCAAATTGCCTACAAAAATTGTACCAATTTATACTCTAGTAACATTATTCCAGTGCCTTTCTGTGCTGTTATCAGCACTCGTTATTATTAACCTTTTTAAGTTTTTGTCAACCTCATTTTAGTGTTTGTTATTTTTTGCAGGTTTTTTAATGTGTGTGTCTTAAGAATTGAGAATCTTTTACGTTTCCAGGTCATTTGAATTTCTTTTGTGACCTGCTCAGTTGTGCATTGAGTGTGGTTTTTATATGTATCCCAAGTATAAGATGCTTCTTGTTGTTGGAAAAGTCTCTTTTCCTCACTAGTTTTAATGCTTAGTGTTGATCTCTACTTTTCTCTGTTTTAGGATACCATGGCCAAAAGAAACACAGTGATAGGAACACCATTTTGGATGGCTCCAGAAGTGATTCAGGAAATTGGATACAACTGTGTAGCGGACATCTGGTCATTGGGAATAACTGCCATAGAAATGGCTGAGGGAAAGCCGCCATATGCCGATATCCATCCAATGAGGGTAAGGAAACCAGTAGGGTGGTTAGCTCTTGATTGTCATTAGAAAGCTGGTGACTTACTCGATTTAGGTACCAAACAGCAAATGAATTAATTGTGTATGATTTGTAAGTGTCAGTCTAGACTCCTAGTTGTCGTCACTTATCAATTCAAGTGTGATCTACCACCTCCATGTCAGGGGTTGTGTGTTGATAGCCATCTGACAGGACACAGGGCACAGAAATGCTTGGTTTGGCTTGTGCAATCTATATATTTTTAAATAATTTAGGTGCTCACATTTTAACATAACATTAACTGGAGCTGGGCAGTGGTCCCCTCCTTTATACAGGGCACTGGCTTTCCATTTTATCAGTCTCCAAGATTCCCTAATCACCAAGTATCCCTTGTCACTTATCACAGTGTTTTCTGTACTGTTTTTCTCATACTAGTGTTAGGAGGAAAGCAAACTATTTTTTTGAACTCATGTCCCTAACACCCAGCCCGATTTGTTTGTTATCTTTTTCCTGCCTTGCCCTCAGAGGTATTTACATGGGTAAGTTCTGCTTCATAGATTCCCTCGACTCCCCTCGTCTGGAGGCTCTGTACTTTGCAGCCTCCGTGGATTTCCAGAATAGTAAGGGCCCTTCGGTCCAGTCTCCACTGAAGCTATCACCATGACACCCTATGGGGTTTGTAAGCTGTACTCACCCCAGACCTCTCATCACAGCACTGTTAAAAAGCCTTGGCCCTGCCTTCCTCGGTGCCTGCATAGTCCTCCATACCTCCCAGCCCAGCTCCTCCGCTTTTATTAATTAGTTCTTCCATTAAAAGGCTTAACACTTTTTAAAAAAGTATTTATGTGCTCAAAGATAAGGTCCCCTCTTTTTGGGGGGCAGAAATGGGGAAGGGTCGGAAGATTTTCTAGTAGATTTAAAGAATATAATTTAAGCTGCTTATTACAGAGTTTTGTTTTTTTTTTTAAGTTGCCTCTTCTTTTATTGGACAGTAAATAATAGTTTTAATTTTTTGAAATAGAAGAATTTAACTGCATTGTGGTATTCTGGTTTTTGTTTTTTTCAAATACGTTAAATTGCCTCGGCCCGGATGTTAATGAATCTGTTGTGATTTGAGGGACTTTCCTGTTTATGATCTCCTCGTATTCACTGCTCACATCTAGTGGTGATGGTGACTTTTATGGGGAGGGAAATTTGACCACTGTGGGGCTGAGATGATCTTCAGGCTATCAGTGCTCTCAGGTCTTGCCTTTTCACTTTGAAGGCAGTGTACTGTGGTTAGCAAAAACCAAAATAAACTTGCTAGATACTGTGAGGTTGAGGGAACAAAAATACATATGAAAGAAGGAGAAAGAGAGCTATAACAACTTCTCTAATTGTCATACTTTCTACTGTGAGTCACAGACTTTTGTTGGCATTTGGGTGGGCTGATCAGTGGATAAGAGGAAAATAATTTCTTTAAACTTCAGAGGTATCTCTGGTTGTATTTTCATTGGTGCATCACTTTTATTTTACCCCCCCACAAATTTTTTTTTAACTAGGCGATCTTCATGATTCCCACCAACCCTCCCCCCACGTTTCGAAAGCCAGAACTGTGGTCTGATAACTTCATGGATTTTGTGAAGCAGTGTCTTGTAAAGAGTCCTGAGCAGAGAGCCACGGCCACTCAACTCCTACAGGTATGAATCTTCCCAGGATGCTGCCTGTTTCATTCACATACTGGCCAAAAGATGCTGGCAACCCACCTGTAGGGAGACGGTAAAGAAGTAGAAGACATTTCCTGCCTCTAGGGAGCTTTGACTCTGAGTAGAAAAGAATGTTAAATCATTGAACAAGACAATAATGCAAGAAAATGGAGGGCTCTGTGGGATCAGAGATTGGGAACTGACATTTAGTGAGGACCTGCTGTGTGCTGGGTGCCATTTAGTCATCACAGACACCCTGGAAGGGATGGCTATTACTGCAGTTTTATAGGTGAAAAAATGGAAGCTTGGAAAGGTTAACTCATTTAGAGTCAATCAGCTGAGAAACAGCAGAGCAAAGACTAGAACCTAGGTCTTCTTGGTTCCAAAGCAGGAGCGCCCACAAGTCTATCCACTTCTGATGAGGAATTGAGATTAGTGGTAGGTGCTCTTGTAGCGCATAATGGGAGGAGGCCACTTTGGGCAGGTGGTACTGGGACTGCTGTCTTGGAGCAGGGAACCTCGGTGCGTGGGCCTGGAAGAATGGGAGGGGTTTGTAGGCGGTCTGCTCAGTGGTTAGGAGGTTGGATTCAGCAGTCACACTGCCCAGGTTTGAATCCTGGCCTCCTGTTTACTAACTTTGTGACCTTGGGCAAATAACACAACCTCTCTGTTGTTTTAGTTTTCTTATCTATAATTAGAGACCAAGTACCCTCATATGTCGTGAAGATTAAATGATATAATAGTGTAACTTTACATAATGTTTCACAGATACTAAAAGTAGTATGTTGTGGATTTGACAAGCATCTGTGGTTTGTTACTGGGCTAGGCCAGTGGTTTTCAGCCATGTCAGACCCAGTACCCCCTTTTTAATAGTATGTATATTTGTAATACTCTCACTGCTGTTCTGGATTGAAATTCTTAGACAATAAAATCTGTTTATGGCCATAATTTAAAAAGAGTATAATGTGTATGATATAATGAAGGCATAAAGATTTATAATAAAGTGTGTGTCAGTATAGAGAGAGGGGCTCTAGCTTGACTCAACATGCAGACATAATGAGGTAGTTATATACCTCTACCCAGAACCATAAATGAGTTTAGAGTTAAAAGCAGTAAGAACAGAAACCATTCCATTCAAGCAATACAGGACAGCAAATGGATGGACACTGGCATAGAAGTGATGTTAAATGTTAACAGACCAGGCTTATTTGTATGTGATAAGAGGAGGGAAATGATCTTGTAGATTTTCCAAGCGGAGAGAAGAGAGAACAAGGAAATACGATATTCTTGCAAATGAGCCTGGGTTGGTCTTATTTCTATGTGTATTGACAGAGTCCTTTCCTGCCGGGAGGGGTTACTGATGAAGTTTTATGGAAAATAAATCTCATTTGCAATCCCACCATGTGCTGAGGCATACTTCTAATCTCCTGATTAGAGTACTTACAGAGACCTTAGAGACCATATATCCTCTGGTGGGTGCTGGGGAATAGAGAACAGGTTGCAAAGAGAAACACTGGGGGGACAATGTCCGAATCAGTTGGGAAGACCCCAAAAGAAATTCCAGACGTAACTTCCCAACTGTGTGAATTTCTTATTGTACTACCAACACAAATAACAAAAATGTACAGTGGTATTAATATTAAAAAATTCAAGCATTTTTTGTATTCATTTATATTCCATTATTTTATTATTTATATATTTATTATTTATTTCATCATTCCACACTATCCCTGTGTTTCAAGTGTCTTTGTTGAATGATATTCGGGTCTACATCTCTTATGCATTTGTGACCAGTTTTAGTATTTCTGTGGTAACTACAATTTTGCACTAAAACCCTTTTTTTTTACCTAAATTTGTAGTTGGCAATGCTAGGTAGCACATTGTATAGGAAGAATAAGCAGGGTGAGTAAATTATTCGGTGCTATTTAAACAATATCTTTATGACATTTAAGCCTTACCCTCTAAAATCATCTCTTAAATTACTGGACTTTTCGCTTATCTCTTGAAAAAAATTTGGAGTTTTATGTACTGAAGCGTATCTATACTCTGCGACATTTGAAAGATGTGCAGAATGTGCCACAGTTCACTGTCATGTGGGACCGTTCCACACCTTGAAGGCTTGCTTGCTGGTGTCCCTGGCTCCCCTGATATGCCCTCAGTGTTCTCCAAACCCTGTGACCGCTCCCAGCTCCCAGCATGTTTAGCAAACTTCCTCTAGGGGGCGATACCACCCTGTTGAGAATCTCTAGATTCGGCAGCGAGAAACAGAGGAGACTTTGGCAGCCAGGCTGAAAAAGATGGGCAAAGCCCGAATGCGCGTCTGGTCAGAGTTACAAAGTGAGTGTGGTTTTTTGGCGCTCACCCAAAACAGAAAGAGAAAGAAGAGATTCGTGGACTGAGCAGATGGTATCCAGTCCCTCCAGTGTGCCAGGTGCTGGGTGGGCACTGGCGCCCTCGATACCATCTCCAGTGTTGTCATCTTTCTCATTGAAGCACCCGTTCGTCAAGAGCGCCAAGGGGGTGTCGATCCTGCGGGACCTAATTAACGAGGCCATGGATGTGAAGCTGAAACGCCAGGAAGCCCAGCAGCGGGAGGTGGACCAGGATGACGATGAGAACTCTGTGAGTGGCAGGCCCGCTGTGGGCCTCGGGCATTCAAGCGTGTTATTTCCTGATTGCCGGGTCAGGTGAGATGAGTGGGGGGGTAACAGGTCGGCCTGGGGCTGGGGATGCCCCGTGCATGAATTATGGCCTGCCCGGGACACTGCTAAGGGCTTGCTGAGGTTGTGCTCATTCTTCTCACAGTGCTTCCTAAGACACTTCCAAATTTTACTCTCTGGCCGCCTTATCATTTCTTCCATTTACCCTTTTTTTTTCTCTTTTTTTTTTTTTTTATTTGGAAAAGCAAATGTTTGGGTCAAACCAAGGTCTGAAACTTGGTTTTTCATGCCATTTGGGGGAATCAAGGATCAGTACTAAAATGTACATTTTATACCCGCAGACTCCCTCATAAGCCTGAGATTCCAAGGGTGTTCACCTCTATGTTGTAAAACTATTTTTTTTAAGATTTTATTTATTTATTTGACAGACAGAGATCATAAGTAGGCAGAGAGAGAGAGAGAGGAGGAGGCAGGCCTCCCACTGAGCAGAGAGCCCGATGTGGGGCTCAATCCCAGGACCCTGGGATCATGACCTGAGCCGAAGGCAGAGGCTTTAACCCACTGAGCCACCCAGGTGCCCCTGTTGTAAAACTATTTAAAAAACAAACAAACCCAGGGGTGCCTGGGTGGCTCAGATGGTTGAGCTTCTACCTTCGGCTCGGGTCGTGATCCCGGGGTTCTGGGATCGAGTTCCACGTCAGGCTCCCTGCTTGACAGGGAGACTGCTTCTCCCTCTCCCTCTGCTACTCCCCCTGCTTGTGCCTTCTTTCTCTCTATCAAATTAATGGGTAAAATCTTTTAAAAAAATGGCTGTACTCACAGGGGCTCACACTCATGACCCTGAGATCAAGAGCCATGGGCTCCTCTGACTGAGCCAGCCAGGCACCCCTCTGTTGTGAAACTCTTATGAAAGAGAGAGGAAGGGGAGAGGGAGAGGGTCCTCCCGGGTTAGATATGCCACTCTTGCCTGGCTGACTTTATGATCTTCTTTGGTTAAGTAAGAGTGCTCTCAGTTCTCAGGGGTATGGGTCTAGCACCCCAGTTGGCATCAAATCCTGAAATGCTTGCACTGAGATCAATAATAGTAATTCCAAAGCCTCAGGCCTTTTGATCCAGTCGGGCCTGATTTGAGGTTTTGCCCTCTCGCAGGAGGAGGATGAGATGGACTCCGGCACGATGGTTCGAGCAGCAGGTGATGAGATGGGTACTGTCCGGGTAGCCAGCACCGCGAGTGACGGAGCCAGCACTATGATCGAGCACGGGGACACATTGCCATCGCAGCTGGGCACCATGGTGATCAACGCAGAGGATGAGGAAGAGGAAGGGACCATGAAAAGTAAGGCTCTGCTTAAATGTACTCTCTCCTCAGACAACCCCTGCGCATTGCAGAGAAAATAGGCCCTTGTGGTCCACACGGGCTCAGGCTGGACTCGTTTTCTGGTTGTGCAGGGTGAGGGCAGGGCGGGGTGCAGGAGAGGAGAGTTGGCCTGAGACAGCAGAGGCAAGAACGCATCAGCAGTGAGGAAGGACCTTCTTCGGAACCAGAACGGCCAGCTCTCATTGAATGTTGTCCTTTTCTCCTCCTTTGTTCCGCGGAGGCAAGCCCGTGTATTGTTTTGATGCATAATTCAAAGTGTGTTGAGACTCTGAACTATTTACTATAGATGTCTTCAGTCTATTTTCTGTTTTCTGATAGCCAGTAGTTAGGATGACTGTCCAGGTTTGAAAGTCTCGCATCCCTTCTAGTTGAATCTCTGCTGCACTTCTTACCCTGCTCATCCTTTTTCTTCTGTGGCCGTGGCCTGACACTAGGGCTTGGCTCCCATCTCAGGCTGCTGTCATCTCCTCTGATCTTCTGTTGTTTCCCGTTCCTTACTCTGCATCACAGGCCAACTCACAGAGGAAAGGAATTTGGAGTACAAATGGTAATAATTGAGTTCTGGATGCACATTTTAGCCTGAGCCTTTCATAGCCTTAAGTCTTTATGATCTTTTCATTATCTTTCCTCCCCAACTTTTTAAAGTTTAAAGGTCCTTCCTTTAAACCAGGGAGCAGCAACCTATGGTTCACAGGCCAAATCCAGCCCACCACCTGGTTTTGGCAGTAAACGTTTATCAGAACATAGCCGTGTCCATTCATTTACATATTGTCTGTGACTGCTTTTGTGCCACAGAAGCAGAGTGAGTGGTTGTGACAGAGACCGTGTGGCCCGCAAAGCCTGAAATGTTTGTTCTCTGGTTCTTTACAGAAAAAGTTCTCTAACCCTTGCTCTAGACTCCCTGCTTTGTGATGAATTCATTTATGAATTTTTCTTCAGTGCTGTGTCCCAGGGACTTTGCCAGGTGCTGAAGAGACAGTCCTTTCCCCAAAGGAACTCATTGTCTCGTGTAGTGGGCGGACCATTAGTTAATTACACTTTAGCGTGTGAAACAAGTTCTAAAATAGAGGTAATCTAGGCTCTTGTCAAAGCAGAGTGGAAAAGTGTTCAGTCTGCATTGGGGATTACTGAAGAATTCTGGAGGAAAAGCAGGAGGGTTGGCAGTGAGTAGGGCAGGCGGAGGTGTTCCAACAGAGGGGGTGGTGTACCCAGAGGTGCAGCGGGCGAGAGGAGGGTGGACCAGTGCAAGGGGCCTGCAGCTGCTTTCTTGGGACCGGAGCGAGCAGATCTAGGCTCTGGGCCCCAGGCAACACCCTCTGCTTTTCACCTTTCAGGTCTGTGTATTTATAATCAGCCCTTTGTTTATGAAGAGAAAGGGTTTTCTTTTTTCCTTTTTCTCTTTAGGGGCCATGGCTCATTATCTGTGTTTGGATTCTGGTCAGAAGGATACAGGTGATGGGAGAGTAAGTAGGAGTGGTGATGGATGTGTAAATTGGTATAACTTTTCTGGAACGCGGTATGCATCAAGAGTTTAAAAGGTTCAGACCTTGGACCCGGTACATTCCACTTCTAGGAATCGGGTCCAAGAAAATAATCGAAGATTGAGACAAATTATATTCAAGAATTTTTCCAAACATGTTACTTATAATTGTAAAAAAAGAAAAATCTGGATTAATTTAAATGTTTTGTAGCAGATGGTTGGTTAAATAAATTTATGGTACATCCTTAAGAGGGACTATTATACCATACAGAAATAATAAAAACCCTGTTTTGGGGGGAATTTTTTTTTTTTTAAAGATTTTATTTATTTATTTGAGAGACAGAGATCACAAGTAAGCAGAGAGGCAGGCAAAGAGAGAGAAGGAAGCAGGCTCCCCGTTGAGCAGAGACCCTGATAAGGGGCTCGATCCCAGAACCCTGAGATCATGACCTGAGCTGAAGGCAGAGGCTTTAACCCACTGAGCCACTCAGGTTCCCCCTGGGGCGGGGGGCGGGGGAGTATTTAGTGAGTTAGGGAAGTACTTATGATATATTAAGTGAGGAAAGAAAGAAGCAAAATTATAGCAGTTTTATAAAAGTTTTATAAAAGTAAGAAGATAATTATTTTTAAAAATACCAGTTTTATAAAAGTAAGAAGATAAATTACATATACATATAATGTATACATAGAAAAAAGATTGAAAGAAAACCCAGAAAGGTTGGAGGTAAATAAATCAGTTATTAAAAGTAGTTATTGGTGGTAGGATTATATATATTTTATTTTATTTTTTACTATTTATTTTAAAAAATTTTATTTATTTATTTGACAGAGAGAGAGTACAAGTAGGCAGAGTGGCAGGCAGAGGGAGAGGGAGAAGCAGGCTCCCCACCGAGCAGGGAGCCTGATGCAGGGCTCCATCCCAGCACCCTGGGATCATGATCTGAGCCGAAGGCAGCCACTTAACTGACTGAGTCACCCAGATGCCCCTTATTTTATTTTTTAGATTTTATTTATTAACTTCACAAAGAGAGGGGGCATGAGCATGAGGGGAACCTTAAAAAAATGGATATTTATAAGAGTTTATAAAAGCATTGTCATTCTGCTAGTCGCTTTAGATTCTTACCTCATTTAGAGTTCTTGGATATGTTTCATTCCCTACTCTCCAGATCGAAGCACCCTAGAAATGTGTTGTCTGTTACGTAAATAATCAAGTGAATGCTATTTACTAAATTTAGTGTTTTTTGTTTTGTTTTTAAGTAGCCAGTGTGATTTGTTAGGAAGGTTTTGCAGTAAGGAGAGGTGCTGACCTCTAGTCTTTTCATTGACTCTGAGTGCTTTATCTTCTGCTTGTTTTAAGGGCTTTAATCATACAGATGATTATAATCACCGTGTAGTGTAGCGAGGTGGGTTCATTAACATCTGTTGTGCATGCGCATGTTGTGGAAAATCTGCCCTTTTTTTTATTTAAAGAATTAATTTTGTTCCAAATGTAATTTTCCAAATGTATTTAAAGTGCTAATTCATTCAGTGGGTTGTTTGTTCAATTTCTGAGCTTGGGTAGTTTCGCGTGTCTAATGAGAAACATGCATCTTTTATTACAGTCATGATGGAAAACCGTTTAAAAACCTCAGCAGTCACAGCTGAGTGACATTAAATAAACTCAGGTCACCAGTCATCTGCTACATGTCTGGTAATTCTGTTTTTGGGCCACAGGTTTGACAGATATGCCACTTATTTTGAGATCTCAACCACTTACTATTTTAGATATTACTTAAACTTTTTCATCATGAGAAATTAAAATGTGCATAATTGCACAGAATAATACCATGACTGACCCCAGTGGACCTGTCACCCAGTTTCAAACCTGATTAACTCACTGCCCATCATACCTCAGGCTCCCCCAAAGAAAATAAAGTCAATTAATTTAATGCAAATCTCAGAGATCATACCATTTCTTCAGAATTAGTTTTAAACATTTAAAGACTGTCTGACCAAGGTTGGCTCAGAGGCTAGCTCTCTGTGTTGTTTTGGAGAAGTCACTTTCCTTGTACAGGCCTCCATGCCTTAATTAGTAAAATTAAGGAATTATTAAATTTATGTACTTTTCTTTTTTCTTAGAGCGCAAATAGTCCACACATTTATAAGGATTGTATAACTCATGACTAATATAGAACTGAAGTTTCTAGAAGTTGAAATTTGTGAAAATAAATAGGCTTTCATCTAGTGTCTTCTTTGACCTGCGAAATGTTTAATTCTCAAAAATTATAACTATTACCCTTGATAAACTCAACAACAAAAAAGACCTATCCCTATAGCTGTTTGCATTAGTTTCAGAGAACCTCATTTTCTTTTCTAGTTTTAAAGAAACAGTAACAAGAAAATTGGAAGGCTCACATACATAATTTGTGTAAGACATCTAGGTCAGACACTTTTCTGAAATTTTTGGTACACTTTTTGACAATTGACTGTATTTTACAGATCTTTCTAAAAGTTTATTCCTTGTCTTTAAAAAGTTAATTTCATTTGCTCCTATTCTCATTTACTATATTAAAAATTATTATACCAACATTATTACAACAGTATGAATCAATCAACTGTTAGAGTAGTTTACCCTCTCACTCCAATAAAGAATGCCTGTTTTTGACTATGCACCTATATGATTCCTATATGGTAATAATTTTCCTAGATACTCTGTTTTCTGATTATTTCCCACTCAGTAAGTGTATGCATTTTCCAAGGCGCTGCAAAACCCCTTTTTTATATTTATCACACTTAACAAGGTTTTTAAATCATTTATCTGTTGCTAGACATTTTGGTTGTTCATAATTTTTCACCAGGGGGATCTTCTTACATATAAATGTTGCTTTTCCTGACAAAGTTTTCAGAAGTATTTGAATAGTTTCATGTGTCATTGTCACATTGTGACGCTGCTGTATTGCCCTCTAAAGTTTGTACCACTTTACATTCTGTCAAGATAATAGCTATCAGAGGACTTGGTTTCTCCCTTTGTATCTACTTCTTCTTTTTATTACCCATGTTTTAAGTCTCTGTGCCACTTTCTGGGTGTTTTCTCTGGATTTATTTCTAATTCTATCATTCCTTTTTTAGCTGTGTCAAATCAACAGTTTGACCCAGACATGGAGTTTATTTCATAGAAAAACTTTTTGCTCCCTAGAAGTTTTTTTTTTCTTTAATATTTTATTTATTTTTTTGAGAGAGAGAGAACAAGCACAAGCAGGGGAGGGGCAGAGGGAGAAGCAGGCTCCCTGCTGAGCAGCGAGCCCGATGTCGGGGTCTGACCCCAGAACCCTGGGATCATGACCTAAGCCAAAGGCAGATGCTTAACTGACTGAGCGACCCAGGGTGCCCTGCTTCCTAGAAGTTTTAATTATTTTTATTTTTTAATTTTTTTAAAAGATTTTATTCATTTATTTGACAGACAGAGATCACAGATAGACAGAGAAGCAGGCAGAGAGAG